TATAGATACACGAGAAATGCTTTAATTAAATATGACATTTGCCATATTTCTATCAATGTATTGAAAATATTATAAATGAATTGTAATATTGTCTTTTTAATAAAAAAAAAAAAAAAAAAAAAAAAAAAAAAAAAAAAAAAAAAACATTTATATAATATTTCTAATGGTGAAAAGACATTTAAACGTGTAGTAATTTTTACAATATTAAACGGTAGTTTAATCAAGTATGGATTTGTTGTTACAGACAAAAATAAATATATAAATGATAAATGATTTTATGAGAATTTGATTACAAAAGTAAAAAAAAAAAAAAAAGAAGGATAACGTAATTAATACTGTTCTTATTGACTTGCAGTTAATGTTTCTGTTAGATTATAATTTTTCACTTTTACTTTTTAAAATCTACAATCTGATAATTTACTACTGATTAATCAAAATAAATGACTAATCTCGATTACTTATTCAGTGAAGCAACGCATAAAATAAATCATAATGTCCAATAATATAATGCATGTTGTAGAGTTTATTTATTAGTACTTTTAAAATAATACGCACATGAGAAAGACCAGATAATGATTGTGCTTATGGTGTTATATAATTTAATAGAAAAAATTTATACAAAATTTATTTTACATTATAATTTCTTATGAATTGCAATAAGAAATGCATACTTTAATGATTGATTTTAATTTGATTTTACCTTAGCTACTGGATAATAATGAAAAAATTATCAAATAGCATTTGGTAATAATAACGTAGTAGCAAATACAAATGATTCTTTCATTAATTCTAACAGTAATTATAAATACTTTGTACTTTAGGATTATGTAGATATTAAGTCTTTACTTATGAAAGATCATTAAAATCTAACATTCGTCAATAAAATAATATATAAAGTCTATAATAGTAGATAAACTGGACTATTGCGCTAAATTAATTATTGATAGCCCAAGCTCACTTCAACAAGCAAATGGCATTGAAAAATTTATGAATTTTCATCCATCATAATAAATTCATCATACAAGGTTGTTTCAATAATTAATTCTCTTTCGACACATTAAACGCTAATTGGTACTGGCAAAATAGTCTGCGCCGGCATTATCATCAATTATACCATTCAAAGGCGAATTTATTTATCAGCCGATATATAATATAACAACAAATCCGATCGTCCAAGTAAAAACGCAAATGACGTCATTGAGAGTCCGCCGCCAGTCAAGTGCAATCAGCATTTAAAGTCAAGCCAAGGAGTTCCAAAATTCTCGCGGTCGAATTGAAATTTCGGCCATTTGCCAAAGGCTTCTGCTTAGGTAGGAAGCGATTCTCCGTGCTAACCACTGACAAAGTTTCGATAGACTGGAGCTCGATGCCGGAGGTGGCCGAGACAAAGAAACCGCATCCACCGCGAACGGAGAAGTTGGGGAAAAGCCGAGGGACTTTTTCGTGTGCGTGCCTCGTTGCGTTAGGAGAGGGAGGGATGTCAGGGATCGTTGCGAATGCGCGTTCCACTTGGTAAATTGATTAGGGTTACAGACTCGCGGAAGGTCCTTTAATTGCGAGGAATTTTAAATTGCTTTTGCCCTCGCTCTGGTAGGTCTTTGGCCAGATTTTTGTGCGCGTCGGTTATAAGAAAAATGGCACTGTGGCTCGGGCCCGATATGCCGCATCCGATATCCAGCACTTTCCGCTCGCTTATGTAAATATTTATTTGAGAAAACCTTAGTGGCTAGCGGTGGTATATATGTCGGCTAATGCTCGCCGCTTATGTGCTTCCCAAGTTTCAACGTGACGTTGATGAGGAATTTGTGGCGCTGAATGGCAACGTGTGGCTTCAACGAACTTACATTCCGATAAATGTTTGTAGAATTTTGTCGCGATTTCAATGCAGAATCCGAGGCTTATCGCGCCTTAAGTTTTTCTATTATGTTCTACTATTATTGTCGTAGTAAACACATTTTCAGTTGAGTAAAAGTAGTGGTTAATAATATATTCATAATGCCATTGTTGATATTATAATAGGAGAAATGTGAGGGCCTATGGTAAATTATTCAGTATTGCGATTATAGAATGGATGTATAAATTGATTCGTGAATTTTCTTATGAATATAGTAGTTGAATATTTTCAAGCTACACGCTGCATTGACAGAAAAGATAGAAAGAAGATCGTTAAAGTTATGTTATTGATTATGTTGTATTAATTCGAATTTTCGAATTCACTCATTTTTGGTTGACTCCGATCATTTTACAAGACTTTTTATTTAAAAACAAGACTACTTGTGATATATTGTCAGAGCACCAATGATATTTTCCAAATTCTGATAATGTATTGTAATATGCTGATCGCGATGTTTAATTATATTGTAATTAGATAGATTATTTATATGAATGTATAAAACTAAAGTTTTTAATAATGTTCTATTAATATTGTCGTATATAATATTGCCGACAAATATCATTGATATTGAACGATCGGCTTCAGCAAAAAAAATGTAAAAATCATTTGTTATGAAAATTATTTTCTTTAATTATTAAAATAAATGAGAATAATGAATTTTTAAATTTTAGTGTTAATGAAAATTATTACAACTAGTGCTTCGTGTTAATTTTGGCACTATTTTTTTACATTACTGAACTGACACTACCAGTACTATTACTACTTTTAAGACTCCTTGTACATTTTTTTTTCTCCATGAATGCAATATTCGTCGTCGAATTTTATGGAAAAAGATTTTCAAAGCTTTATAGAATCAATAAGAATACGTAGAATAATAATAGTAAAAGGGAAAATAACGCTATGAGCCAAGTTTCATTTTTTATATCACAGAGTAATGTAAATTTTTGTATAATCGAATATATTATAATTGGGGATTCGTGAACAAAATGTAAACAAAATCCAGATTATTTAACAATGTAGTTAAGTCTTCTTGTATCATTAATATAGTGATTATACATAGGAATTGTAATTTTCGTAGTACGTTACCGACTATGACAGCTTTTTAAAATAAATTTATATCACGTTATGAAATTTGCATGGTACTCGTTTGTAAAATATTTATTTGCATAAACGCACCAATCCTATCACGATGAAGAACAATAATTTAAAAGTATACTATACTATACTATCAATTTTAAAATAATTGAAAGAAAGAAAATATTTCATTTCATAAAAGATTATCATTTTAATAATTATTTTTGCATCCTTATTATTAACAGCATATAAAAAAATGTATAAAATATTAGAAAAAAAAACATCAGTAAATGATATATGAATAAATTGTATAGGGAATTTGAATAAACGTTATATTGCGGTGAAACCCCCCTTACATTATGCACACATAGAATCATTGAAAGCAATAACATGTACATTTAATTCGCTTTATGTGTGTGTGTGTGTGTGTGTGTGTGTGTGTGTGTGTGTAATAATAATAATAATAATAATAATAACTATACTAGCGATATTATAAACAGGCAGTTCGTATTTATCATTTTATTTCTAGTTTAAAGAATATTGAATTTGTTGATAGAAGAGACAATTATTATTTAGTTTGGCCTCATTGCTGCAAAGATGGCTAATAATGTTTTCCTTCAGAACTCCATCAACGGTTGAAAATAGATTTTTCAATAGACTTGGTCTTGTTGTGGCAGATTTTCTGCTCTTGGTTTTCTACATCAACGAACATCTTCTGGGTAAGATTATAAAACAGGCCGGATAGGGGCATTTTATATATATATTTTTTTTTCCATAAGCAAAGGATGTACACACATGGGCTACATCGGATGAGGTATTCAAGAAGTCAGGCGCTCTTTTATTAAATCGCATAAGCCGAAGTATTATTTGATGTATTCAACATAAACAAATATAATACATGGATAGCACATTATCTTACATTTCGCTTTTCATGATACAATTGTAGCTTTATATCCTTTGAAGATGCAATAACATTGCATAAAAGCCTGCATTTATTTATAATATTACTATGGGTGCTATTATATTTTATCAGAGTGTGTGCGTGCGGGGGGGGGGGGGGTGAACACATGACTAAGTAAAAGAGGGGAAAATTTGATAAATACTTTGATGATGTAATTACTGAACGATAAATTTGGTTGAATATTCCTATCGTCTACACGACTTTAAATTAACCATTAATATAACTATAGAATTCATCCCAAAGTGGTTGTTTAATATCTCGAAGGCAAGTATTCAGAGCCATTATAATAAAATGCATTAAAAAGTCATTTTTAACCGTTGAAATAATATGACATGAACGAAAAAACAAAGTAAAATAATAATGTTCGCAGCAGTTCATTGCTCCTCGGGTTCATAATCAACTAAACCAACTCGACCGATCGCTTTCGCAGAAATCGATCTCTCATTCGAGGCATCTGCCTGTCTCTCTCCCTTAACACAAGCGAGAAAAATATTCTCTTCGATACGTCAACGCAAGCACACAGATGATTTCGTTTTTTTCATTCCTGAGCGCTGCCGTTCCAAAGCTTTTCTTTCGGCGCCTTTACACTCTTCGCTAACGCTGTGTCTCGCTCTATCTCTGGGGGAGTTACACTACTCGCTCCCGTCGGTATTCAACGAGGAGATAACGGAAGAACATCGGAGCTGCGCGCTTAAACGCAAGAAAGAAAGAGCGAGCTAACCAAGTCGCTGTACCTAGTCGCCCCTCCTCGCCACCATCGGCCCACCACTTTTAAAAGGAACGAGTAGGGGAGTGAGCGAGAGTGAGATAGAGAAGTACGAGGATTAAGGCTATTCTTAAAATAGGGCCTGCACGCGCAGCTAAGAGCCGAAGCGAATGAACGGCGCTGAGCGACGAAAGCGTGAGCACGCACACGCGCCGCAGAGAAAGAACGGGATAGCAAGATAGAAAGAGAGATAGAGGGAGAGAGAGAGAGAGAGAGAGAGAGAGAGAGAGAGAGTAGAAGGATCGGCAACGCGCGTCGCGGCATCTCCGGGGTCGCCGGTTCTTCAGGGTTTGAGCTTCGTCCGAAACGGCTCCTCCGTCTCTGTCTGTCGTGGAAAGTGCGCGATCTCGCGAGCTGTTCCTTTCTCTTTCACATACTCTCTCTCTCTCTCTCTCTCTCTCTCTCTCTCTCTCTCATCCCTCTCTTATTCTCACCATTTTTTGTTGATCGGTCGAATGAAAAAGGCAAAGAGATCGCGCAGCGCATCCGATTAATCAACCAATATATTACGTTAACCCTACGGCGAGTAAGCTCGCGGCGAAGCTTGCGACGACGAAAAGCTGGAGTTCGCGAGGTGCCCGAGTGAGGACTGATCTTGCAGCATGTCATCCTTAAGGAATTACGTAAGTTTTTTTGAGTGCGCTATTCGATCGATGGATCTTGCAATTCGGCACTCGCTCAACTGGAAATCGAGGCGCCGAATAATACGAGACGTCCCGAGCTTCCGCGAGCTCTGTATTGGCGATCGACGGAAAGTTATTAGTGGATACTCGATGTGAGGCCGATACTCATTGTTACGATCGGAGCTTCTATTTTTACATTTTAAAGACTTTGTTCAGACGTCGATTTTGCCAAGAAATCTATTATGCCGTTCGAAGTAAGGCATTGTTAAACAGTGACTATTTGGCGTTTTAGGTGAGCGAGTAATTGGTACAGTCAGACGCTGCAGCTTCCCTTCAATATCCAAGCGTGTGATTATTCAAAAGCAATGACTTATGAAGCGCGTGTGTTGGATGGTGATCATCGGAATGTTCTTCGAGGTGAATTAAAAGGGATTTTATGTCATATTGTAAAACATAATGTGATTGGCAATAACCGACTACGTTTCTCTAACGTTAACCTAAATCCGACTGAATATACGTATTCATTCGTTATTAGTTTCCGCATATATTATACTCGTGAGAGAAAGTCTTTGGGCCCACGCCTATGCCCAATCAAATTAAAAAAATATTTCAAATTGTCGGAGGATCAAGTAGTGTCGGAAAATTACGTAATTTCGTACGAATAAGGGCGAGATGCGCGATTAAAAGGCCACCGGCGACTTTGTTTACAAAACAGGGCTGATTTAGGATGGCGGCCGGCGGCGAGTCACACCCACGCACAGCCGCTGCCACGATGATGACACGATGACGTTGCTGCTCGTCGGCCGAGGATCGCTCCTCCTAGCACCCCGTCCACGTCGCTATTGGCAATTCTCTCGATGTCGCAACAAAGACTCGAGAACGCGACAGCGTTTCCGTGGAAATTATGGGAGTTTCTCGTGGGCATATTCGCGCGGCTTTCGCTGCCAGTCAAACGTAAACACATTGGAGGCGGCGTTCGTGGGTTGAAGCTCGGGTTGAAGTTTTGATAGTGCCGAATCGATAAGATTTAATGAGAAATTGTCTGGTTCGCAGCTTCACGAGGCACCGTCGTTCATCAGCATTCGATCGCTCACGTTTTGCAAAATAAATTCATATAGTCTTTCTTAATCTTATAATTACTCTCTTTTAAAATTGTCTTCAATATTCATTAGTATTAATGTAGTTTTTTTTTTTTTTTAATTAACATTGTATTTTTAATAATCAAGACAACAGTCATTTCGTATTATATATGTATGTATATATATATATATATATATATATAGTTAAAATATTTGAACATGTAAAATTGATTAAATACAAGCGTATCAGTCGCAATAGAGGATAATGGAAACAATTTATTGATCAGTATTATTCGGCCAACTATGCCACTGAAACCTTTCGTACAATCTTGTCATTATAAGTTTTGTAAAGGCCGCGCAGATTTCTTGTCAACGAAATTCTTGAAATCTTGTTGAAAAATCACATATCGATAAAATGTTCATATTGTAATGATGTAATAATGCAGACTACCCTTAGCAGCCTTGAAGCTTGCAAATAGTATCAAAGTAATTTATTTTAAGATTCTCTTTAAAGAATATCTTCCGTTCGTCCTTGCGCTTGAGAGAAAAATCCACTGGAATAGGAAGCGAGAGGGCGATCGCGCCAAAGAGCTTGAACACACGTGAAGCGCGACGAAGCTTTTGAAATTTGTTGGGCCAAAGTGCGCAAGGTGATTACTATTTTTTCACGAGTCCTCAGCTCCATTATTACGATGTCTCCTCATCTCGGCGACGCTCGATGTTTTTGCCTTTTTTTTTTTTTTTTTCTTTTAATCGAAGCTCTTGGGCGGAGACCTACGGAACTTTGCCTTTCATGTTTGTCTTGATATTTATTGCAAATTGTGTGTGATAAGCGAGGCGAGATCTGCTTTTCATACTCGGATTTGCAAAGTATTGCATCTAAGTATTTAGACGCGACCGATTGACTAGTACTTACGATGCGGAACATTGCAATTTAACTTTGTTATACATATATAAGCCGACGATTATACTTACTCGTACGCTGAAAGAAATGATTTAAATAATTCCCGAGTTAACGTTATTCTAACCGGACGAATGTTAGTTCCTCGCACTTAACCTTATGTAATATCAGAGGTTATTTTTATGTAGCTATTGTAACTGACATTGGCAACTATTCAAAAAAGTTTAGTAGTGGACTTTTCATTATCAGATGTAAAAGTTTTTTAAGTTTGTGATTTTTTTCAGTTTTAATGATGATAATATTTTGCTAGTTATTTTGTTCAATGCATATTGTTTATTACTCGTGTTTTCCAATCAATTGGATCAAGAAATATAGCTCATGAAAATTAATAAGGTTAAGGCGGCGCTACCAAAGATTTTCGATTGGAAAACAAATAAGTTAATTTCGTGAAAAATTTATTATCATGTTACATTACTTACTAATGTCATGCAAAGTTCATGACAGTAGAAGCACAAGCAATATAACATGTACTTTCAATTGCTTGAAAAGAATTTGTTGCAATTATTAACATAAGATAAATATGATTGCTGATGTTTATTTTTAAATGATATTTGACACTAATTACTTCATGATGATTTTCAGTATTTTAGTTTGTACTTACAATTTTTAATGATTTAAATCTTTTTCATCTCGGTGTCTCGTCTTTGCGCACTCAAGTCGTCACTATTTACGCTTATTTGTTATCATTGTAAATTATTTAAAATTTTAAGATAAAATAAACTTTTATTTTAAAAACATTTCACAATACAATGCCAGCGAAATTCGGGTTAACGATTCTTCTCTCTCATCTTAGCTGAAAATATAGAATTTCTGAATTTAAGAGAAAGTCTACGAAGTTTACATTAAAGTACTGAAAATAAATATTCACAAAGCAAGTAAAAGTATATTGATTCACGAAATTTCGAGAAAGTTAAGATTTTATGATTCTTTCTTTTACTAAACGTTGCCAAGCTAAACAAGGAATATAGTTGTAGTGCCGCACACTCAACAAATATCGACAAGAAAAATATTCTTATGTAGCTCAATCTACAATAACTTTCCATATAACTGAAATCATAAAGTTTGTTAGTACTGTGCTGTTACGCAGAAACTTATTATTATAGTTAATAGCACGATACTAACAGATGCAACTATACAATAGAGAAAGGTAAAGAAGAACAATAGTTTACTTCATTTGAAATTGATTTTATCAATCGGATAATCGAACCATTATTTTTTTAAGAGTTAATTAATTTTATTAAGTTAAGTTAATTCTTTTTTAATATATCAGTGTCATATGTCGATAATTTAACGAGTATAATTAGAAAAATAATATTTATTCTAATAACATTTAACGTGAGTATTGTAATTATATATAATGTCTAACTTTGCTTATTGCACGTTTATTAATACGAAACCCATAATTAAGAATCGCGCTATTGGATTTAAGAAAATCCATTTTTTTTTTACTCTTAATCGTTTTATTTACATATCGTTTACTACTTTTAAACCATACTTACTGCATATAATCAACGGCCTATGGTTATTAAATTCGGCAACACTTCACAAAAGTAGCTTGTTCGTTCAAAAGATATTAATCATTCACCACTTGAAGCAGTATTTCCACCGTAAGTGGTAAAAATGCTCGAATTTCTTCTAGTTACTAAAATAATATGTACATACGTAAAATGTATGGAGCTTTATTCTCAAGATTACTTAATGCGGAATGAAGCCAACTTTGTATGCTAAAATCGACATTGGTGTCGCTATAAAGAAATAGTAAAAGTTCAAATAACTCAAAAACTAGTGTTTCTATTTGCTTAAAAACCAATTGAATGAATCGACGTGTAAATACAGTTGGATAATCACAAATTCGATAATCCCGTTTGTGCATTCCCACTTTTCTCCCATCCCTGATAAATAACACAGAAGCGCTTTCTATCCTTTTTTTCGCATAAATTTATTAGTAAAGAACATTGTAAATTTCGCCGAGCGAAAAAGTCAGTCGCAGCCCTGTTTCTCGTCTGCTCATCCAGCCATGTGCGAAAAAGTGTATCAGCATTCGCCGATGTCATTGCACAGACGCCATACATTCGCGTGTAGGCAACTGGCTACTGGCCCCACTCGGCTATTTATTCGAGTGAATGTAGTGAGAGCATCGCAGAGAGAGAGAGAGAGAGAGATATATATATCGTGCGAGGGGGTAGAGGGTGATGGAGCCGGGCTGTACAGCAAAATTAGCTGGTTCTTTCCCAGACACTGGACGCTTACGTCACTATACGTCTTTAGCGCACCTCAACCCTCTCTGCCTTCTATTTGCCTTCAATTTGCTTCTTCCTCCTCCTTTGCACAATTTAAGGGTAGAGGCACTTTGTCGTTATGTGTTTTATTTCTGCCGGTGATAAAGAATCGGGAATCCGACATTTAATGGATTTTCTGGGCGAGCACTGCAATCGCATCTCTCGCCTCCTCCTTTTTAAGTAAATAAATTTTCAAAAACACGGCGATAAAAATGATATATTATTACATTTTTTAGCTTTCTCTATCACGAGCCAGCGGAGTCTTAGCGGATTTTGGAAGGTCCGCGTTTGCTTTTGCTCGTTCGATGTCATGATTCGTCAACGTGTCAGGCTTCCGAATATTTCGTTTTATATTTTTAATTTTAACACTTAATGAAGCTTCGAAATTTGAAATAATTCAAAATAAGCATATTAGTTATACTGTTCTTGAATTTATATCAGTATCAATTAATTCGGGTAGCTTCTTTTTTTTAAATACGTATTAGTTTGGAATAATTTATTAAATTGTCATCTTCTATTCGAGCTTCGGTGTTCTATTTAACAGCTTTAAATGCATAACTTAACTAATGCTTTTAATAACAATTTCTACAAGATGTCCCCGTCATTGTTATAAAATCTTTTATATTACTGTTCATATTTATCTATTTTTATTGTTATTGGATATCATTAAGTTTTAAATAG